AATTAAAGGAATAAACAAGCAAGGTCATTTACAAAGGGAAGGATCATTACGTTGACCATTTAGTCATTTGCTAATCTTTGTTTTGCATGTAACCTAAGTCATACTTAAATACTACGAGTTGCAAAACTAAGTTTAAAATTTTAATGCTCTTTTTATTTTCCCATTTCAATACAGATGGCTTGATTTTGTAATGTACCAACTCATTTGCCAAACAAAGATGGTTACGATGAACGTCACTAGAGATCGTAAAAAGGTCAAGAAAAACATGGACACTATACTTTATCGTCTAGAAGTGCTTCAGAGACAACAAACCCAACTTATTGGTAGGATTCGCATAGATATGACAGCCCGCGCCAACGAGGTCGAAAGAAAGCTTTGCGAATTTCTCAAATCAGAGGATTTGCGAGCAAAGATCGCCTTCCAACTATCCGGATCTCTTCCATCCATAAGCGAGTTAGACGAAGAACTGCAAGTAATTTTGCAACAGTGGGAAGATAAAAATCATGTATTTGCGAATGCTTTCACCTTGCCTCTTCAACAATTTTTGGAGCAACACAATTTAGCAAAAATGCAAATTCTGAATCTTCAACATGATATCTCCGAGGGCGTAGTCTCAATGGCCACTCCAATTTACACACACTGCAACTTTAGCGCCTCCTTGATATTCATTCTTGACCTTGTTGCTGAGAGGCTAGGAATATTCAAGGGTATCTCCAGATCTTTGGGAGAACGTGATACCATTATCCATATGATGAACGCGTTTGCTTCTTCTGTCAGGATTAGAGAGAGGTTTCTAAAGTGTGTTATAAATGGAGAGGCTGCTAAGTCTATCGTAAACGAAATGCTTAAAACGCATCTGAAACATTTGGAACAAATTGGAAATCAAGTTCCGCAGATGATTGAGGCCAATAAAAAGTTATGTGAAGAACTCCGTGACAACAAGGAATCACACCAAAAGATTATAGAAGTGTACGAGCCAATTATGAACGGTGCTTTTCCTATCAGAGGACATCTTGCAGCATTTGGGCTGAGGGAGGCCTGTGTCCACTGCAACGATGAGCTGGAGTGGAAAGAAGAGGCATCTTCCTTTCTTGGGTCTGGTACGTTTGCCTCTGTGTACGAAGGAAAGATGAGAAGACACGGACGCGAACAAACAGTGGCTGTGAAGGTATACCGCAAACCTCTGCAAGTCGAAAATGCTAGTCTCATCGTTGAAGAAATGACACTTTTAAAGTGAGTAAATATCCACCATTTCAAAGTTAATGTTCTAGGCTTGAAGAAAATTTTGCATCAACCATCTGGCTTTTTTTCATTCTGAGGTGCCATTCAATTGAAAAAAGTTGTTATTTATTGAATATCTTACGTAGCAGACTCGCCATAATTTGAAAGACTTTCTTTGTAGAGATAGGAAGCTTGAATAAAACAAGGTTTGATTGGCGCTGTGACGTTCAGGTATACATCGGGGAGAATGCGTGACCTCATTGTTTATTCAGAACTGATAGGGCGGAAAATGTAAACAAGACCTCGACCTAAGGCATTGCTAGGCTTCCTTGTGCGACTAGGTATGATTGGCACAATTATACCAATTCGTTCATTCTACAATGCTAACAAAGCATATTTCATTACCTGATTGCTCATATGTAATATGCTCCCTTGACAGAAAATTGGATCACCCTCATATCATAAAGTTTCTTGGAACTGCACTTGTAAACAAAGAAGACAATGTAAGAATGATCTTGGTGATGGAAAGGTGCACAGGAAACCTCAAAAATCACATCTTCGCGTGCCGAGAATCCGTTCCTGGTATATCTGGACAAACAGCTGGTCTCAGAGCATGTCGTTGGGCGAAAGAAATCACTGCTGGTCTTGACTTTATGCACAAAGAAGGCGTTATCCACAGAGACCTCAAGCTCGAAAATATTTTGGTATGTAACTAGCGAAATCACGATATTTCAAACGCATACTGGCAGCCTTTAAAGGCAATGGAGTTGACTTATTCAGTGTCACACTTCCTGTAAACTAAACGTTTGTTTTTCTTCCTGTTTTGATTGTTGATCGTGGGCATCCAAGCTTCTGGAATTTAATTATGAGCCAATCAGAACTCCTCTGAATCACGCGTCTAGGTGTGACACAAAACTCGTCAAGTTCGTTACCCGTAGAACACTGCCAGTTTTTATTCATAATGCCACAATCTACATGTAAGTTGGAGAAAAACGAATATTTGCTGTTGTTATTGTTATATTTATTAACATTATCTTTATTATTATTATCATCATCATTATCATCAACATTATTAATTTTATGATGATTATTATTATTATCATTATTATTGTTTATGGATGTTTTTACTGAAAAGGGAAAACAGACGCATATAAAAACAATATGGGGACATGAGAGAAGATTACAAATTGAAGAGAATGCTAGTTACTAAAACATTATAAAATGTTGTCAAACACAAAGCAAGCGAGTCAGTAAATTGAGTTGTTTTCGTTGGTAAACTGACTATGAACAGAAAAATCCAATTTTAGTAATTTGGGAAAAAGAATAATGATCAAACAATGTAATGATGCATATGCTTCAATCTCTTTACACAATAATTTCATTTAAGTTGACCGAGAAGCATTCCGTGAGGATAGGTGATGTCGGCGTTTCTAAAGAAGCATGTAAAATCACCGGCACTGTAAAGGGATCTCCCGTGTACATGGCACCTGAAGTGTTCCATTCCAAACTTTATGACTTTAAAGCAGACATATACAGCTTTGGAATAATATTGTGGGAAATGTGGTTTGGACGACAGGCATTTTCCAACGTTGATTTGTTAAACAAACAGCATTTCTTTCGATTGGTTGATTACGGGTGTCGTCCAAAAGATGTCGAGGAACTGAAGAGTCCTCCACGTCGCTGGAAAGAACTTGCGGAAAGATGCTGGAATGAGGACCCAGAAAAACGCCGGTGTCGCTAAAAAAGTCTCAAAACAACAACTTTCAATTCACCTCACAACAACTGTATAAGTCTTCTTTTGTATCAGTCATTACTTGTTCATTCGAGATTTGAACAGCAAAGTACATTAACTTTGTTTCAGCCCAATATCGGGATGCTCTCCTGACTTGTGACTGGTCATCTTTTGTTTGTGTTCAATGATTTTACAATGAAGGAGGCCATGGGGTTTGTCTAAATACTCAGAGGAGACAAATGGGGCTGAGTCATACTTTCTTTGAAGAAAAGAAATACAAGTACCTATTTTTGCAACATATTTTTCACCTATATAAATTAGGGGAGGGGGAGAGGTTAAATTCCAAAATGTCTGTTGTTGATTAGGGGGTTGTATAGTCCCTGGTAATTCCTAGCTAACCAGTAAACAGCTGATTTGTAAGGACATATACTTTAAGAGGTAGTAGTGAGTATGTAAGAATTTTGCTTTACTGAAATTCTTAAAAGTATAGAACCACAGGTTCGAAATGCCTCTTTAATTCAACAAGAACATACTTGCAGAACTAAAAATCATTATAAATATGTACTATATTGTCCTAGGCCAGTAAGTAACCATTTTTTCATGCAAAGGTTTAAGACAAAGAAGAACTATGTTATTCCCAATAACAATATAATAATTAGATAATTTGAATTTTGCCTAATAATAAAAGAGAATGTGTAAAACGAAGGCCATGATTGGCAATAATATGGTAATTCCATCACTTAAAGGTCAGAGATTTCTTTTAATGTTTTCTTCACGCACGAATTAGTTATCAAACATGTACAGTTGGTGTGTAGAATGATATAAATGGTACACCATGTAGAATACACGGTGTACCATTTATACTGTCCTGTTTGCATATTACTTTCTGTTTGAAGAAAAAAATACAATAAAAAGTTGAATAAAAGCTATTAAAAGGTCAGTGTTTCTGATCAGAGTATTGAACAACAGTTAAGAGAGAATAACATCCTGCATTCTGTTGACACTTTGTTTTCGAATGACCACACATTGGTTGCTTGCACGGAGGACAAGTGTTAGTTGCTTTCCTCGAGGATTTGGAATGGGAGGACTGACTTTCTTGATTAGCCTTTAGTAAGGCATTTTGTTCCTCTCCTGTGGAAAAAAAAAAAGGTAAGCTGTTCATAAAGTAAAAAAGTGGAGTAAAGTAAAATTTATTCATAACGAGCCTCACGCCGTTAGCAACCGAAAAAAGTCTAGGTATCCAGCAGAGAATCCGTACTTTTAGTCCGCATTCTCTGCTGGATACCAGTGGCTTGCTTGGGTAAAATTTTTGATCGTATTTCGCTCCTAATCTGATAGAGGCGTCAACTTTTACACAATCATGTCATCATCCTATGGCGTGAAAAGGTAATTAAAGAAGCCGTATCCGAAAAAAGTGTACATGGCCGGCGCTTAAAAATAGTGACAAGACAAAGCGCTCGCCCGGAGTGTGTTGCGGCAGTTACAGTCACGTCGAAGAAACATTTCTTAGTCAATGCTTGCGGATTTAGTTAACTTCATTAATACTGACATAGGCTGCGACGCTTATTTACTACGACATTTAACTGGCGGCCTGAGTGTTTTGTTTTCTAATCAATTTTACCAGATTTTTGTTTTCGGATCGGAAACAAAGTAAATTCCAGAACCGACGACTTTTTTTCCGCTGTGTTCGGAATCTTTGACAGCTGACGCTTGGTGCTGTAATTTTTGAGCATCCGGTTACCAGTTATTGGGAATAAACTCGGCGTATTACAACCTATAATTTCTTTTGCTGTTTAACGCAGAGTCCACAATACATGGCGGCTTTTTCTCACTGATATTTTATGTCGCATTTATAGTTTACACACTGTTCCAGTTTTTTTAAACGATATTCATGCAGTACACATAAGATTCTTTGTCACTGGCCTTCATATGACCTATATTGGTGCCGGAATCCTCTAGATAGTTGCGAGAGATTACAGACATTATAGGTACGATGTGATTAACGCACTGGTGTTGAAAATCTCTTTGCGCTACCTCCTCCGCAACGATGATTAAAATCGTGAATAAACAGAGACCGGGGGTAATAATAATTGTTTTCAAATCAAGATAGATGTTGAACAAGCTGACAAAGCTTTTAAACAGACAAAGACCAACTTTCGTTTAATGACACGTTACGAACAAGTTTAAACTCCCTTGAACTTTAACAGGGTTCGTACTGTCTTGCAAGTCTGTTAATTTCAGGGCAAGTCCCCCAATGAATTTAACCAATCCTTAGAAAGTCCTTGAATTTTTATATTCTAAAAGCTTCTTGAGAGGGGTGGGACGTTGACTTTTTCCGAAAAACCAACTTTAAATACTGAGTCAAGCGCTGTGCGCTAGAGTGGTTTGGAAATTAACATAGAGCGCGGTAGATCCAGTAATGCGTTATTGACCAAGCAGGAAAACTCAAACCTGAGCCAAGCGATAAGAGCCAAGCGAGAGCTTGCCTGCAGGTTACACAAAGACAAAATGGCTGCAACGCTGGCCACCGCAGAAAACGAAAAATAAGCAAGGGTTAATAGCCAATCAGCTCACAGAATTCGCTGCATCTTGCACCGCTTGCGAAGCCAGCCATATAAAAAGGAAAGATAATACATCGGCGTAATATAACTCTTAAAGCAAGAATCTCTCCCAACATATTCATCTAAGGTAGTAAAAGTTTAAAATGTTATGAAAGCTGAAAAAGAAAGGGTTCCGGTGTCGCGCTTATTCAGAGTTACAAGTTTGAATGGCCAAGGGGTGGGCACTTATTCAAGGAAATACGGTATATCGATCACTTGAGGCTGTGCGCGTTACTTCGTGTTGTTTCATACTTTATATTATCTCATATTACCCAGTTTGTCAGGAAATCAATCGTCGTCGTGTGTTTACGCCCTACAAAAACGTCGCATCAGAG